CGACTCATGATACCCCTACACTATCAATGCCGGTTCATGTTTTCCGTCCTGAATATTGCCAATATGACGTCCAGCAATGCTTTGCGACAGACCCGGGGATTTGAGGCGCTTGAGAAAATGCATGAGCCTACTGCAGACGACGACGCTGTGCAAGTTGGCATGCTGACGATGAGATGGTGTCAAGTGACCAATGCGGGCTTGATGTAAGCTTTCACCTTCAGTTGGTTGACTGACTAACCGTGAATGCGCTCTCAAGACACTAACACTTGTGACGGATGAGTGTTTGCGAGTTTGCTGGACCATGCCAATCTACTCAGTATCGCCAGTTGCACTAGGGGCGACGAATTTCTCGTGGAGAAATACAGCACGTACAGGGTAATCTTGCTCTTCATCCGGCAGAATAGAAGACGGGGGCTAGGTTGGCACTTTTGCAGACCGCTTCCAGACTCACAGTTTTGACGCCGGTGCTCTATCAGTCGTCGAGCCAATTGCCACAGTTCTTGGCGCTTCCGTTCTGGTTGCGGACTTCTCGGTGTCTTTGACTGGCGGGTCTTACATTTGAAAATCGAAATGGTGTCACGGTGCGAAGAAAAATGCAGGTTGCTAAAATACAGAGAAAAGGCCTCGGTGCTGCTGCGTTACTGACTCTTCGAGGGTGGTGGTGCATCGACGATGCCGACGAGGCGCAGACGGGAGCGCACAAAGAGGGTGGAAAAGAGGAACTGCGAGAGCTGGTGGTCGTACAGCGGTAGATGGCGGTAGCCCTGCTGGAGGGCGCCTACGCTCACGGCGTATGCAGCCACGCTGTCGGCGTCGATGGAGCTGGTGGATGACGCGACGGAACTCTCGCTTCCCGGCCCGCCACGTGCTCCTGAGCCGGTCTTGCCAGGATCGGCTGCAGTGTCCAGCGCTAGCTTCGCCGTTGCATCGATCGGCGGGCTCGCTGAGTCTGACGGCGGCGTGGGCGAGGTGGCTGGAGCGATGTCACGGCTGTCTTCGCCCTCGAGATCGTCGTCAAAGATCTCGAAGCGCACAAAGCACAGGTCGAGCAGTCCGCGGCTGATGCGGCCCAGCTCGGCGTGGTCGAGCGAAGCGCTGTCTGTTGAGGCTTGAGCAGCTTCGACGAGGGCCATCACTTCGGAATTCGCGCTCGCCGGCATGTCGATGAGCAGACTCATGTCCGTGTGCCATTCGGGGCTGAAGCCGTTGCTGCGCACCGTCGGCGTCCTGAGCAGCTGGGCAGGTGCCAGAGCGCTCGTCTGCCATACGCTGCTCAGGCTTGCTCGGCGTCCAGACTCGTTCGTGGAGGATGCGATATCGAGCCCTTGCGAGCACGACCCCATGGACTCAAGCTGCGCTTTACCGTCCAACTGTCCAGCACTTGCGCTCGCATCGCGATGGCCACTGTCCTGGATAAGAGCGTCGACTCCCTCTGTTTGTGAGCTGCTTTGCGTCGAGCTTGTCGTAGCGCCGCTATCCTGCCTCTGCCCGTCGACTTGAAGAGGCGCAGACTTTGCGACTCTACGAACGGCCGACTTCTGCAGCAAGCCCCTCGGCTGCTTTCCCCAGCAGTCGGGCGCCAGCAGCGACACGACAACAAACGGATCGATCGGATCGCGGCCTTCCGATGCGTTTGTCTTGTCTTTGTCCTTGTCTCTCTCCTTGCCCGACCTGCTCTTCTTCGGCAGCTGCTGCGCCGAGACGATGCTCAGGTCCAGCGAAAAGCGCAGCGCCTTGCCCGCGACCGACTTGGTCTTGTCCTTGACGCGTAGTGCCACGGGCTTGAGCACGTAGCCACATCGGCCATTGCGGCTGAACATGGCTTGGTTCAGCTCGAATCCGAGATCGGTCGTCTGCCAGTTGAGCGCCACCAGCTGGCAGCCCGTCGCCCACATGTCGAGCGGCACAAAGTTTCGACTCGCGTGGAGCCGCGCAAAGCTCGTCATAGACGGATAGATGCGTGTGAGATGCGTGCGATTGTGCTTGACAAGCGCCTCATTTGAAGTCGGATCGCGGATCAGCTTGAGCGCCGTCTTTTCCGACAGCGAGACCATATGCTGCGTCGCATACGACTCCTTCTTGTTGAAGCCACGGCACTTGACACCGATCGTATATATGAGCAAGGATGCGAGCGCCGCCGACATCATCTTTTTGCTCTGTTTGCTGCTGCTGCGACCTACTTCATCCCGGGAGTCTCGGTCGACCTCGAGCGGATCAAGGCCTTCGCTCGAGCGTCGTGGAGCAGGATTGGCGGTCGACCTATCCCCGCGATGCGCACGTCGAGTGACCCGACGCACGAGCTGCTTGGCGCTTAGAAGCCGTGACTCGATCTCCGAGTCCGTCGTCGTGGTCGTGTCCGTTGCCGACGTCGAGGGCTCCAACACGGTGACAGGCACGACACTCGGCTCGTCCTTCCGCTGCGCCGACGAGCCCAGCATACCTGCCTGCCTTTTGTCATGGAGGGCGCGCTGGCTCTCGGCAAGCGAGATGTTCTTGGCCTTGACAAGGACCTTGAACTTGAGCTCTTCCGGGGATGGCAGCTCGTCCTCGGCTCCTGGCAGGGTTCGAGAGCCCACAGGCTGTGTCAAAAGCATCTCGCCCAGAGTGTCCTTCAGGATGCGGGTCATGACCTCTTGCTGAGGTGGATCCGCATGGACTTCGAGGCTGAGGATGAGCGGGTAGGGTGAGGTGACAAAAGCATACCGCGCAATCGCCGTGATCACATCTTGGAACGGGACGCGGCTCGTGAGCGTGCGGCCATGCGTGATTTGAGGCACGTTGTTGGGGCCATCCCAGCAATCCAGCTCCACACTGCGGGCACCTTGCAGCAAGGCGCGGATGTATCCTTCTACGGTGCTGTCACCCTTCCACTGGCCGCCCACTAAATATGTGTTGTGACTCGAGCTGATGTAGTACTCGCTGAGCGGACGAGTCATGTCGTGATGCACTGTCGACTTGCGAAGATGCGCGGCCACTTTGCGAGTATTGGCAGTCGAGTCGCAGGCGCCTGCAGCGATGAGCTCTTCCGTAGTATCGGCAAAGGCGCGGGAAGGCGTCTGCTGCTGCTGTGCAGGATTGCCTTGTTGATTCTGCGTTGCGTCGGCCTGCAGCGCAGCATCAGCCGACGATGAGGACACGGGCTTGCGCGTCGAGCACGACGCTTCAGGCTCTGCCGTGATGGTTGCAAAGAGAGGCAACTGATCGACCAAGGGTGGATTGTCCGAGGACGAGAGAAAGTCGAGGAAGCCGTCGTAGTCCATCTGCACTCTTTCAAGGGGCGCATCCGGGGGCAGCGTTGCCGAGAGGCGGCTGTTGCAATGCCGACGAAAGAGGTCGTCGATCTGGCTGTCGCTGAAGTGGCGGTTGCCCTGCTCATCGCGGACGAACCGGCGAAAGGCTTCGATAGAGATGGCTCGTGTGCGACATGGTTCAGGCCCTGCTGCCAGCGTGACCTTGTTGAGGGAAGCGGCAAGTGTTGCCTCGGATGGCGTCCGTTGGACATTCGCCGAGTCTGGCCTCTGAACAGAATCTGAAAGCTCGGCGGCAGCAACTTGACCGGGGATCGGGGCTGCTGGTTCAGTCGCTGCTCCCTTCCCACGATCGAGCGGCACGTCGGCCCATGCAGCAAAGATGCTCTGCACGTCTGCACGTTGCTTGAGAAGAGAGACAAAGTGCTGAAAGTCGTGAAAGTCGAGGTAGCCGCGATTGCGCCAGTCTGCGAGGTTGAAGCAGCGGCGAAGGTGCGTCTTGTTGGACTCGATGCCGAGCCTGCGGCAGAGCTGCATGACCTCGTCGATCGAAAGCTTCTCGTCGTTGGACTGATCGGCATCCTTCCAGTGGTGTCGCATCCACAGATGGCGACGATGTTCGATGCTTGCGGACGATCCAACGGCACCGATCAGCTCCCTGCGCAGAGACTGAAGATGCAGCAGGCTGGTGCGCCATCTTGCGAGCGACGCATCAGAGAGGGCGATGAGGTGCAACGCCTTGTAAATGCCGCCGTTCTGATAGATGATGGTCACCCAGCGAGGTTCATGCGCCGAAGAGATGTTGAGGGAAGTCCTGTAAGAAGCAGCCGAGGGTCCGAAGCGGACCTCGCGGATGGACTCGAGGTTGACGCGATTGTTCTTCTTGGATTCCCAGAGGATCTGGCCACGATCTGGATCGAGCTTGAAGATGCGAGGCTTGACCTTTTTGTGCGTGACCTTGAGCATCTTTTCGCCCTCGGGCAGGAGCAGTTCGCTCGATGAATCCGCGGAGGATGAAGCGGGATTCGCTGGCGATAACGGGCCGAAGCGCCCTAAGACTTGCGAGGAGTCTCGAGTTATAGAAGAACTTGCTTCGAGCGGGTCGAGAGAGACCAGAGATGCAGTAGATACATGCGTCTTGTCGCCAGATCCGGTTGCTGCGTGAAAAGGTCCTCGGCCGTCGGGCTGCTCCTCGTTGGACGACAACCGCGAGGAAGTTGGCGCCAACGGAAGGAAGGATGCTTCTTCTGCCTCGGCGAGAGGGGGAGGAGACGCAACCAAGGGGGCCGTTGGAAGGACCGTCTTGGGTATACTCCGAGAGAGGGAGGGTGGTGGATGGCTGACGTCGGTCTCGGCGGCGGTACTGCCCGAGCGCATCCTGCGGTAGGTCTCGCTAGCCCGTCTCTGATGATGCAAGCGGTCCGTGAGAGAAGCGACGCCGACTGAAAGGGTCCGAGCGATACCAGGGCTCCTTGGAGGGGATGCGCTTGGTTCAGGAGGGGATCCGGTGGACGGAGGTGGTGAGAGGGTCTGTGCCGAGCGAGCTGCACCGAGTCTTGGAGTCGGAATGGGCTGTGCGATCGTTCTTCGCGCCGCAGCGTCGTAGGACAGAGAGCCGGTGCTGGATCCGCCGCTGAAAGATCTAGGTGGTGGTAAGAAGCGTGCTTGATCGTGGTCTTCCATGGTGTGGTGGAACGAGATCATATCGGCGCCGCTTGCGCTCGGCGGGCCAGGAGGGACGGCCGGCGCCGTTAGCGATGTCGACGGCGCGATCACGTCCGCGAGGGGGTCCGAAGGCTTTTGCAGGAGCGATCGAAGCCATGATCGGACCGAGTGATGTGCTGTGCGATCGCCAGAACTGGCATGCTGCTCGTGAGCCGACATGATGGGCCCTTGCAACGAGATCCTGTAGAGGTCATGGGGTGAAGGTAGACTAGGCCGCAGTCGATGGACTACGCCTTGGCTTTGTCTAGCCTGGTCAAAGCGGAGCGGCTCGGATTGCTGTGCTGTGTGTGGATAGGACGAGTGAAAGAGAGAGAGAGAGAGAGAGAG